AAAACTACACATCGCACGTGAATGGTGTTTGTATGTGGTGGTAGCCCCAAGTCTCCATTCGTGCATAGGGGTGGTTGCGTCTCGATAGCTATAAGGGTGCGGGAGATATGAGGCTGAAAGTGGTTGAAAGTGGCTTTCTATTTCGAATGTTTTGTTCGATTTTTTCGAATTTGTTCGAATTAAATTCGAACATAAAATTCGAATTGGTTCGATTTTAGAACGATTGAAAACGTTCCAGAAACGTTGAAATTTGTTCGTTTGACTAAACGTAAAAATTCTCTAATTAGTCTGGAAACGGGGGACCTAATTCTTGCATTTTGTGAAAACGGGTAAGATTAGCTATAATGTAATTATCTTAACTTTCACTATCGTTACTTTTTATCCAGCGAAGCGGGTCCTTGCAGCTAGATTCTAGATTACTTAGAAAAACAGTCTTTTATATATATATATAAAACTATACTACAATATTACATACAAATAAAAACCCAGCGAAGCGGGATCTTGCAGCTAGTTTAATTATAATTTTCTTTAAAAGTATATTCGTACAATTGAAGAATATTTTGTACCAGGTATGTCGGTTCACATTTTATTTCACCGAGTAAATTTTTATTATTTTATTTTTAATTTTAGCCCTTATATCGTGGCTAGCGATTCGGAATATAATTGTGATATTAAAAATGCATTTAGAGAAGTCTACGGTTTTTATTGGCTTATCGAATAAACGATACGAATGGACCCTATGCGAATGGATCACTGATGCGCAATTGACTGATTGCCCCTGGATGTCGGCTTCTTACAGAAACACAGCTTCCCTATCATCAAATGTCACGGCACGCCACTGATATACATCCATATTTTCATTTAGTAAATTACGTGTAAAATAATTTTTATTATACTGTATTTCTGTTAGAACTATAGAAATCATAGCGATTTCTCAACGGCTAGTTATATTCCACCCATGAACAGGATGGGTGGAAAGTAACTAGGCTTACGAGTTAAATTTCACCCGTAATCAACTGCGTCAGTACGATCACATAATTTTTTGAGGACCGGCGGTTGAGAAACACTGGTATAGAGAGCAGTCGAAGGATGGAAGAATTTAAAAAAGCGTTGTGTTTAAGAGCGTTAAGTTTCGTATGTTGACAATTGACACTTTGTGGGGTCATAGTGTTTCGTGTGGGATTTTCTTTGTGCCTTGAGATTTGTGGGAGTGAATTGGATGAATTCCGATTGGCACTCCTGAGGTTGGCATCGAAAACTGATTTTATTTTTTAAATTTATTTACATTTGTCTATAGACTCCGCATTGTAAAATAAAGTTTTTCTTGTTATTTGTTTGTCTGTTGTTCGTCGTGTATAGATTTACGCGACAATCTCCATCAACATAAAGGTTTTCTTAGTGCCCAAACGTCAATCGAAAAAGATAACGATAACAAGTCTTATGTTTTTTTTTTCATGTTTATAATTTATGTAAAACCTGTACATAAGCCTGTATAAAGCGAAATCGTATGGCACCTCATATTTTTTCCGGTTTGGCAGGTTTCTTGAGGTGTGGTAGTAGCCCGGACGACACCCTTGTGGGGTTGACCTTTCGGTTAAAGGTTACGATCCTTGCTTTGCCCGCGATCTGTCAGGATGACGCGAGAAAGCCTTTTCCGTATGGGGGTAGTGGTTTGCTGGACGCAAAGATGACTCACACAGAGACCGTATTTACCAATTCAACGCGTTTATTTGACAAAGACATGCTTACAGATAAAGCTAAAGTCTGTCCAGATGAGTGTTTCTTTCCCAAACGAAAGAGTTCGTCTCCAAGGATAAGTTGATTCAGAAACAGGAGAAAGTTCGTCTTCAATCTAAGGTGTTTCTGGAGGCTGAGAGAGTAGAGATCCACGTCTGTAAGTTAGGTCTCTGTTCGCACCGTTCCGGATAGAGAAATGTGGTCGGAAAGTTAAGTTCTCCACTCTTGCCGCACTCGTTCAAGTTTTGAGTCTTCTCCTTCGTAATCCTGGTTAGAATCTTAAGAACAGACTAACTTGTTCCTGATCTTCCACTCACAACCGCCCCGTGTCCTTGGGATTTCGGGCTTTTATAACATTTTTCTTCCCGAAATCCCCTGTGATTCTATTGGTTCCTTGGTCTGTTGCCAGGGACGCGATTCGGGCCGCGGGGTTGCCGAACATCGCCGTCCGGGCCGTTCTCTTCCGGAGTCGGATCAAGCCCTTTCCCGGACGACGGACCCGTAAATTTTACCTAATGTGTATTTTTCTGTCCCGGAGAAGACGCAGATGTCCAGCCGCCCCCTCCACAGAAGTGTCAGCAGGTCCCGCTTTGAACTCTCTGTAAGGTTACCGTTCAAAATTACCCCGGCGGACGATTCCTCTCTCGTTCTCACGATTGACGATCGCGGATCTGTCAATTAGGTCTGGAATGCGACAATTACATCGTCTCGTACCCCGTTCCTTGGTCACACCGGTCCTATTTACGTAATAAGTCACCGATTTATTGACTTTAGCTCGACAGCCGGTTCCCGTCCGGGGGGTGTTGTCCCGGCTTCACATTTCGTTTCATTCAAGATCCGTTTCGAACAGGTTTTTACTGTACCAATTTTCTTTCATTATATTTAATGTTTAATTACTTTCCCGGCTGTTATATATAACTGAGGGACAGTATGGCGATTGGTCAAAAAGTGACCCTCCAAGATTATTACATTTTTGGACATAAGACACTTTGAAACGCCCAGAAATGCAAAAAAATCGGGGTTATTTCTGTATGTATGGATGTTAGTGTGTTTGGAAGAGGTTAGTGTGATTTTGTTCTCCGTGTTTGAAGCTTAATACCTCCCGTGCTTTTTGTCGAAAATTCCTGAAATTTTGCAGGAATATATATAAATTTTGCAGGGATATAGATATATATACGTCCGTCTACAGGCCAGTCTGTCTCTCCTTAATCCCAAGAACAAAATTAGATAGATTAAATCCGAAACCAGATATGGAAACTGTAAGCGCAGGAGGCCCCGATTAACTTTATATGAACTTTTAGTGCAAACTGGAAGTCACATTATTTTAATTCAAAGTTTTCTCCTGAAAGCAGTTAATAGATAGTCGGCATGACTCTATTGTTAAAGGAAAAGTATGATGTACAGGAGCAAGCCACTACTAATTTGAGGTTGATAGAATATATTTTAAATTAAATAAATTAAAAATATGATTAAAAATTTCAGCTCGGTATTGGTGACTGTATCACAATAAATAATCGCTCGTACAGNATATCGAGGTTAATGAATTATAGAAGATAGAAGATGTTATCTCAAATTCGATGGTGTAATTATTGCCAACGGCTGGTTAGTTATTTATAAAAATCCATTTTAATGTGGTATTTATCTTGGACGAGCTTGGTATTTATCTTGATCTTATAATTTTTATTTCTAACGAAATTATTCCAATTTAAATATAAAAATTTTGAAGAATCTTCCGAGCCAAATATTTTTTTAAAGTTTCATTCGATGTTGCGGGAGATTCACAGTTGAAATTTTTCATTGAGCTTACGTCTTTTCCTCGGGAGTAATCAGCAGCAAATGGAGCGCCACCAACTGAAATAATTATTGATAGAACAATTATTAGAAAGGAAAAAAAGTAAACGGGCCGAAATATTAACATGATACGAATAAGCATACGTTATTTAAATATATTAACAATTACGTCAACTCAAATGATTAAATGATTAAAATATTGCATATAAAAATATGTCGGGCCATTTGTAATCATGTATAACTTACTATGGTCATTATGAGGATAAACCAAAACGCTTGAAGGTAAAAGACGTAAATATCCTTCAAGTGCATGATGACTTTAATTTTTCCATTCGGACAAATACGTCTCACATGGCATCCATCGATCAAATACTTGGTGAGGGAGTCTTCGCATTTTTCCAGATCCAATTCAATTTCTCCCCACAATACGAGTTGAAGCAGACGAAAACCTTTCATCATCACTTCCTCTGTTACGTTCAGCTGTTGCTTTACTTTACTCATCCATTTTTTCTGCGCTTCTATGACCTTTGTTCCTACCAGTTCGAAAGCGCTCTTCTTCTCTGCTTCGGGACAAAAATAGCCAACAGTAATTTTTCTGTTCTTAAATCGGCGGTATATTCTTTTATACCAAGGTTCCTCTGCCATCCAGTCGGGTTTTTTTACTGCAATGCCCCCAGAACTGCAGATAATTCTGGGAAACAGAAATTCGATTTTTTCTTTAATAAATTTCATACAAGAATTGCACGCGATGCTAATTGTTTCTATGACTTTCAAGACTTGCTTAGAAGTCATAATCTGATGTAACTTTTTAAAAATCCGACTTTCTTTCGAGCATTTCCAGACGCTCTCTGTAAATTAAAACGTATAAATATTGTTTGCATTTAATTCAGAATCGAGAGAAATAAAGATACTCTACCAATATCGACAAACGAAACGACGAGGAACAGGCAAATGATGCCAATTACCATAGTTTTAGCCATTTTTCTGAAAGTAAGCAAGACGAAATTTATTAGGATACGTATAGAAATATTTTGTAATATTAATTGTAGAATCTCTCTACGATTTGATAACGGGACTCCAAATAAATGTATCTTATTGTTGGAGAATACCAACTTGAATTGTTTCGACATAATAAGCAAAAACCAAACTTTATTTGTTCTGGTTGTTACGCATTTTTATTTTAACTTCAAATAAAATTTAGGAAATAACCATGTTTTCAATATATTATACCCCGTTATTTCGATAGCAATAATGATCATAATACTGGGGAATGATTACTTGACGTCCTCGATATAACAATGTTCCGTAGCTAGATAATTACGAATGTAAAACGTAGTCATTGAGTGGAGGCCTCATACTTAATTGCACTAAAATATATTTCGTGTATATCTAAGATAAAACCGTAATAATTTGAAAACGGTTGATCTACGCATTACGTGTGCTTTAGTTCATTCATCTACAATATATTTATCTGCGGAAGGCCATGATGAACTTCGCATGTGGATTCTCCATATTGGAGAAATAAATGGAAAGATAAATTTTAAAAGAATTCTTTAAATATATTTCAAATTATAATTCGGAGTAAGTGACGAGGGGTTAATTTTCCTAATCATTTTCCTTATTTACTGTGACATCGTGACAATGCCCGACTGCAATTTATAATCATATTCATGGTCCATTTTAGTAATGCCTTCTATGTAACTATGTTCTGGAAAATATTTGAATTGAAATAACTTCGAAATCCTCGTTAGTTCAAAATATAAGAGACGAAATAATTGCGAATTCGAATTATCCAAGAGTTATATATTTCTGTACAATATGCCAAATGCCATGTAACTGGTGTAATTTATTAAGCAAACGGAATATGGACATGTATACAAAATGCTATTTTCGTTAATTAATAATAAATAACCTCACGGTTTGCCAAATAGGTTTTAAAAATTAAAGCACAATTCTTCAAAATTTAGCCCAAATTATTTTTAAATTGGCACAAAAAGTAGAAAGTCGCCCAAATGTAGTAGCCTAGAGTCCTACAAATATCTCAATCTGCTACTCGCAGCTCAATTTTGCAATCCCGAAAACCAGCTGTATTTTATGAATTAAGAGAAAAAAAAAAGGTAGTCCATGGGTAAGGTGACACCCGAAAATGTATTATGGTAAAAGCAAAGCCATATTGATCAGATTAACACGCGCATATGACAGTTCGGACAGAATTTTCACTTCGAGAATCGAACTAACCTAATTCTTTAACATGTGAATATATACCTTTGCGGAACAAAAGTACAGTTACGAACTAACGGGATTTCGAACTATTCGAGTTCGAATTAACAAGGATTTCCTGTATATATCATATATACAGGAAAATGTTCCTGTAAACTTATATATTTCCTGTATATTTCCTATTTCCTGTATATATCACCTGATAGTTAATCGGGGTCTCCTGTTCTTAGCTTTCCATGTCTGGTATCGATTTTCACCTAACTCTTCTCGAGATTAAGGGAAGACAGAGAAACAGCTAGCCAGACAGACGGACGCCAGTGGGAATTTGTAAGTCTGCAATTTGAAAATTGCATCTTTAAACGGTATTGGTGAAAGATGCTCTAAGTTAGACCAATTAAATATTTTCAACAAACGAGAAGACATTTATCTACGATCATGCCGAATCGTATCGGGTTTGAAACCAAATGCTAAGGAGACAGCAAAAGCCATTCCAATTGGCTGTTGCCGTACTTTTGGAATGTTCAATATTAACGTGAGGATACAATCTCTGCAAGAATATTTGCCGGTATATAAGAATACATTTTGTGTAGTAATAAGAGCAAATGCAATGGTCATTACTACGCAGAATTTGTATATGATGAACATCGGGTGTGACAGGAAAAATAACGGCAGGATTTTCCATATAATCTGGTGGTAACAGAAAAAATAAGTACATTTTTTGTAGAATATGGGAAAAACGAGTCACGTGCGAATCCCGTAGTTTCCCTTATTTATAATAGTTGTTTTATCCCTAACAGACAGCTCGGTAAATAAACGATCCATAATTTAATAAAACTTCAATAATAAAAGTAAATCTTACCAAATATTTTTTTTAACTTCAAATTCGAATTCGACGAAATTGTATCTTCAATTTCGAATGTTTTAAATTTGGAACGTTCCAGTGTTTGAGAGTAAATTAATTCAAATTCAAATAAATTGGATATCCACTCAGCTTCTTTTTAAATAAATAAAATAAAACACTGAACACTTTATTTATTATAGTTATTCTGTGTATTGATTGGTTAATTTATTTTACGTTATAATTTTGAATTTGTAAGGTTCGAAAGTTCCATTTAACAGAATTTTCAAAAAGTGTTCGATAGCAAATTCACCTGATGATGGCCTATTACATTAGGCTGAAAACGTTTGTGTTTTAATAAATATATCTCAGCGTTATAAGGTGTTCAGTGTTTTATTTTATTTATTCAAATTCAAATTTTAGAATTTGAATTTCGACGGATTTTCGACCAGTCGGTATTCGATTCCGGGTACGGACAGATCGAAAATTCACAGGAAGTTTCTGGGGGGTGAGTTGTCCGGATATGTCGGACTCTCATCTCTCACCATCTGGCCGCCCCATTGTGGGCCTGGTTGAACCCATAATAGGGCTTGCTAAAAAGAGGCCTTCTTAGTGCCCACAAAGCGGAAAGAATTAAACCGGTGATATTACGATTTCGTATATCCCATCTTTAAGGGGATGTAGAAAAAAACGTGCACAATTCTTGTATAATGTTAAAAAATTAACTGTTACTTTGGTAGCATAATTTACAACTAAATTTAATGAATGAGAGAGATGCACGAGGTACATAAAAATCCCTAGAATATATTTTCCTTACATTTACGATTTATGTATCCGTTTGTCATAAAAATTTGTCTTTCCACTTGTTTCCCGAGACTACAAATATTCGAGTACAAATTAACTGGTTTCGACTTATTTCTACTTAAGAAGTAGTTAAATAATTAAGCGATTAGGGAATTGGGGACGTAAACAAAACCCTGACGAAAGAGCCGAAATTTTTTTTACTTAAACAAAAGTTTAACCGAACCATCTCTAGCCGAGTACAGTGGAGACTGATTTATTCGTATTATTAATGTAATAAAGACAGAAATGTTTCCAGTTCGACGAGAGTGACAGAAAAGTTGTAAATTTTGGAAATTTCCGTGGACAAAACGAATTAGTTAGAAAACAAACGACGGACAATCTATTAAGTTTAACATATTTAGATTTTTACAGCTATGGTGAGAAACGTTTAAAATTTACAAGAATCCTGTCGCGTCTTTTGAGGTATATTAGTGATGCGACAAAAGACGTATTTGACATTGACCGGTATCGGCACCCTGGGGTATGCACGCTCTGCAACCGTCTTCGATTCCATCCGTTAGCCACTCGTAGTGAGCTACAGTGGCGTGCCGTCATTAGAAGTGTTGGAAGCGCCGCTTCCCTCGTATTCTCTAAAAAATAAATAAATATTAATTTTAAATTAATTATATGAAAATAATCGCACAATATTTTATTATAACCGCATTATATATCTTATTACAAATTTCTATACTACACGTGGAAAAAAAAATTGCTATTGTATATTAGAATATTAGTGGCAGAGTGGAATCTCTGTATTTTCAGATTCCAAAAAGCCA